CAGTACAGCGCTTTGATTGCTTTACAGCAGAGCTTTTTCATATCAGCTGGCAATATATATTTGYTTGTTATTGGTGATCACTAATAAATCTCTCTGAGTTGCAGTGTTTTATTAGAAACCAGCATTTGCATTGTTCATTCAGTCACTATGTGGCCTGATTTGTGCGGGTTCTTTACTCTAGTAAGAATATTCACCCTCCCACCCCTCCTGATAAGCATAGGGTATGTATTGTTTTTTAGAAACTTGTTTTTGTAATGCCATGAGCAAGCTAATCCACTGAAACATAGTGTATTTATTTAAATTACAAAATGTTTGCATAAAATGTTCTTACTGGTACTCAGAGCGACATTCCGAACAGTTATTACAATATATCTAAAGGCAATAAATGTTCTAGCCAATTCTTTTTAAGATTAGGGTTATGACAAGGTGCTGTTGAGAGTGAAGTATTTAGCGTTTATATAATTCATTATTCAAAGATTTTTTTCTTGTTGTTTTCACATTCTGATTTTGAAGAATTAACTAATCCTAGTTACTACAGGACATATCTCAAATTTAGTTACAAAACTTCGCATTGAAAGACAACAGAATAGTGTACACTGTAGGTATTCTGCGATTTGCTGGCATTTCAAACCAATATTAATCTAAGAAATTAATCAACGAGATACTGTCAGAGAGATACTGCTTGCAAGCACGCTGTTTGGGCTGCCTGTGTAATTTTGAAAAACATTAAAAAAGCGCACTGTACGAACAAAAGTCAAATGGAAGACGAAAATATTGATTTAAAGTGATAAACTGTTCTAGCTGATACAATAATGTTTTCAAAACAACTTCATCTACTTTGCCATTTTTGAAATTGTGTGTAGCAACTTAAGTCCGTAGAAAAGTATTTATTATTACATGGGCTTCCAAAGGAAGACCATGTCTTAAATTACCGACGTTTTTCGTCTGTGGTATGCTTCAAATTATATCCGGGACCTTTTCATTTTTGACATCTATTGTCTTACTGTCATTCATGTTTCTAAGCAACGATTCAAAGGTCGCTTCATGCTTCTTCGGACCTTCGTAAAGCCGGCAAAGTCTTAAGATCGAAC